ATAAATTAATCCGTTTCAAGCCCTGTTAGTTCTTTTGTTTATATACATTTATTTTATTTTATTGTATTTATTTTTATTTTATTTTATTGTATTTATTATTATTAAGTTTCTGTATTTTTTTTTTTTTTTATTGTAAATAGAGTGTGAGTGTGCTTTCTCTGAACACTATTATAAATGTCCTTGATGTGACAGAATGTAATATTTCTAAATAAACAAATATAAGTATAATAATAATATTATTGTTTCATTTTTAACGACCTTTGCAACAGCGCAGCAGCGCATCCAAAATAAATTATATCAAATGAATAGTTCCTGTGAAGTGTTACATGATAGTGTTATTGAGCTATAATGACTTCATTTGGTTATTTTTGAAGCAGCAGATCTCTTGGCCATTTTATTTTTAATCTACGTCGAGCAGGTAACAGGAATGAGGAAATCGATAGAACGTGTGGATTGAGATAATTTTGGGTTGAAGGGTGAAATGTTGTATATTCGTTGTACATGTAAGATTTCACTGTTGAAATGTTGAAGTTGTTGGAGTATAGTGTACCATGGCGCGTTAAAAATTTTTGGAGTACAGAACTTGAAACGCAAAAAAAAAAATTTATTTTTAAAAAGTTACGGTATCACTGGCATTTTTATTGTCGATGGTTTTTCAGTTCTTTTGGAACTAGAACTTTTTCCCTTGCAACTTTTCAAGTAAATCTTTTGCACAACTTTTATTTTTTTTAAACTTTTATTTATAAAAAGTTCTATCGATTTCGCTAAAAAGTGACTTCTTTTCATTGTTAATCAAAGAAACGACACATTAAAATCATGTTTAATTCAAGACAAATTATAACTACAATCTAAGCCTAATTAATTATTTTTCATTTGGCAGAACTATTTTTAAGAACTTTTATCATAAGCCTGGAACTTTATCACAAAAAAGTTTCGTAGAGCTTTTATTTCCACAACTTTTTTTCTAAAAAGTTTCACAGATAACAGATGTTAAAATGGAAATTATTAAAAAAATTATTTATTTATTTAGCTGTTTTATATTACATAATATTTGAATTTTATTTCATTCAACATTTGTTTGTTAATGGTTACTTTATTGATAGGCTAAAATTAATTCTTTTAATGCGTTTTGTCTTTTATTTTATATTCTAACAAGTGGCGAGGATCCCTGACTATTGGCGATCCCGAGGGGCGACCCCCAAGGTCGGCGCCATGGGGCGATTCCCCGGTCGCCTCACCCTAAGGCCGGCACTGAACCTCTGTTATTATACAAAAATTAAGTTTAAGGTCATAAGATAAAAGTGTAAAAAATTGTTCCAGCAATAATTTTGTAATAATGTGAAAGTATATTATACACTTTACAATAATAAACTTTTAAAGATGTTAACTTTATAATTACGATATAATGTGGTGAAATTTCCCACCCTTCAAGGATGGCCAAGGAGGAGAAGACTGAGTGAAGTGTTTCCCCGAAGTGAAAAGGCAGACTCTCGTGTTAGCTTATCACTTGTCGATCGAGGCCTTTCTACCCAGCCTGCCTGTCAACACATTAATATTAAATAGTTTGGCAGGGGCGGGGTGGGGGAGTGTGTCAATTTATGCATATTAATGAAGAGGGGTTTTATCTGCGAGCCGAGTCATCCATCAGCCATTCAGCCGGCGGTATCGGTCGCTAATGAGCCGCTCTCCGTCACCTGATAGCCTCTAGTTCGGGGATCGTCGTTCAGTCGAGTATAGTACCCAACCTGTCTTGCCTTAGCTATTAACTGATGACTTTCCTAAAAACGGGTAAGCGCCTTCTCGCTTAATTTTTATTTACAACACGGTAGGAGCAAAATAAATGTGGGAGATGTGATCAAAACGTCTCTGAGAACAATTGAGGCCAAAATCTAAACCGTTGTATGAAGTTCTATTTTTTTAAACATCTCTTCATACTTAACCCCTTGTTAAGTAACACTATCAGTTTAAATTGTAGCATTACCAGTTCAAAAATGTACCGGGTTTCTAATAGCTTATCCTGAAATCCGAAAACCTTATTTATAGCTTCTCCTTACAAAATGAGATTTGTTTAAAATTAAAGAATTCCGCTCCAACAACGGGATCTTCGTAGAAGAGAAATCGCTCCCGAGAAGAGGTGCCCCCAAGAGGGTTTCATAACACAAATTGCACCATTAAATTTTTTGATAGGCCACAGACGTTTTGAATTTTTGTGGAGGCACATCTCGATGGAGTACAATTCTCGGAATGAAAAGTTATTCTAGGGGGGCAAGAGGAAAAATATAGACGAGGCCGCAGCAAGTACAATTTTGTATATGATCTACATTTTTCTAATAATTCTCTCGCTTGAACTGTTTTCAAGAACAGAGAGCAATAAATTTATTGGAAATGAGGGGGATGGGATTGATACGCTATGGAACTTCGGGAGGGCGCCCCTGTTCTCGAAAGTAGACAATTTCAAATGCCTTGGCCTCACAACAATCTTAACGATCCTCCATGTTTCAAAGGTCTTGAAACAACTAAATCTACAGAAGTCCAAATTAAGGATGTACAATGCTCTGGTAAAGAATAATGCTATCTGATAATCAGCGGTGTGAGACTTGAACACAGTAAAATCTAATAGAAGATAACCAAAGCGATCTGGGATCAAAATACTAACACATAGGGAAGGACCAATAAAGAACTGCTTATAGAATTTGTCGAATCAATATCTGCTGCTGTTCAGAGCAATTCATCAAGAAGCTTCAACACGAGCATGAATGCCTTTATAGAAGAGAAGAGTCTAAGTGGAAGGTCAAAAACCAGATGGATGAATCGAATCAACTAAGATTCTGCACAATTTGAAGATCTTGAAAACCGTGAGAGTATAATTACATTTTAACTGCTTCAGAATAAACAAAAAGTAAATGAACATTCCTCTCCATTTTCTAATTAATAATATTAATAAATCAATAGATTATTGTACGTTAAAGTATTAATTTCATTTACCGAAGCAAATAGTAATCTTAAACCTTTCAGGAATAAGAGGAGAGGAAATGTGGTATAGTGTCTAGGTTACAATTCGATTCCTACCCACTATGTTCACTCTGAGTGAGCGAACTTGTTAATAGGTGGCAAAATAGAATTTTTTTCTAAAAACTTAAGGCCAAAAGGAAAAAAATAAACTTGTTAATTGTATAGACATCGGCTACAAACTATCGTCTTCATGGCGCAATAGCAGGCTACTACATTATGGGTTTGTAGATATATTGATTTTCAAGTTTGGAACTCAAAGTATCGAGTGAGATCCTATGAGTGTTCTGGAATGATTTCCGTTCTAAGTCTAACAATTTTTTTTTAATAAAATGTCGAGCTTAAAAACGAACCGCTCATCCGATTTTTAAGTTCCAATGCTTGAATTAATAAATGCAATCTCGTGAATGTTTCGAAGCAATTGAAACTCAATCACCTGAATATATATATATATAATATATATTTCATTATAGTTTAAGTATTTTAGATTTTTGTTTTCGTAGCATAACATTTGTAAGCTCATGATCATATATAAACAACATAAATTGCAATAAGCGAAAAACTAAAAAATCTTAAAATAATTTAGTACAAAAAAATATATAAAATTAAAAAAAAAAATACTACCATATGGAACATGTTTTATTTTTATTATTTTTAGCATATTCTTTTACAGATATAAAGTGAAAATTTGAAGTGATAAAAAAAAGTGATAATTTACAATTGGGAATAAGGTGGGTAATAAATCACCGCAACTGTCTATATCCTGCAAAAACTGAAATCCATGAATGTATTGGAAGTAGCCGACCCGAACTAGCTTTGTTAAATTTAAAAGCATCAAACAATTTATGTATATGCTTGTGCCAATTTCTAATAAACTATTATTAAAAATGAATGATTCTTTTATATTTTTTTATCTTGACAACGAATAATTTTTCTGAAAATTATAACTTTAATGAAACGATTTCAGTAATGAAAAAAAAGCTAGATAGTCACTCCTGACAGTAAATGTAAAGGTACTGATACTGGACGTGTAAAATCAAATATTGATTCTTTATCAACTCTAAAGGTCCAGAAACTATGATTTTGTAACATGAAACGTAGTGCCAAGATTAATTCCGTTGGATTTCCATAAAATAAATATCAATTATTCCAGGTGAAAATTTAATCAGAACCGCACTAGATCGGACATCATACATGCTATTGCCCAAACCACTTATGGATCCAAGATTTAATTTTGGGGATGATTCAGCCCGAATTTTTTATATATATATATATATATATATATATATATATATATATATATATATATATATATATTGTATAATTACTTTGAAAGAAAAAGAAAGAAACTAACTATCTATATGGAAAGTGTTCAATTCATTTTTGAGATCCAATTAAAATAATTAGACAAACAATAATATTTTAAAAAATATTATTTTCGTAAAACATAGTTAAGTTTTACCATTTTGGAGAGGGGGAGAGGCCTTCATCTCGAAAGCTTCCCCCATGGATCCTGTAGCACACTCGTCTCATCAGAGTTTTAAGAACCAATGAAACACAAAATAACAATATTAGCTATTTTCAAACCGATTTAGCAACCCACAAATAATTTATTGATTTTTACTAAACTGCCCATAAAATTTCTTAGGTTTAGACTCTAATAATTATAACCTTCATCGACGGTCTTTTAATAACTTAAAATCACGGGGACCAAAATTTCGGAAATTTTGTCTTGATAAAATTTACTAATGACCATGTGCATGCGCTCTAGCGACCAAGTGGTGAAACATGGCCAACTTGTTTTCAGTTCTATCTCTTTGGCAGGTATAAAATTGACAAAGCTTTAAGGTTACACGAAGTATATAACCTGTTGTTTTGTGAAATACTCTTGTCATCTTTATTCAATAGTGTTCTTGATTTTGCTCTACTATCACTAATATTATCAATTTCGTTTCAGAACACATTTTCAACCTTATTTATAATATTTAACTTGTCAATTTCTTTGTTGTTTTTTTTCTAAAATGGATCCTGTCATCTTATGTTGTGCAGCACTCCCTTTTATTGTAATACTGATCAGAAAATGCCGTCAGCTTACCTGGGGATGGTGTAATGATGAAAGTATATTGACTAACAAATGTTTCATTGTTACTGGAGCAAATTCTGGTATTGGAAAAGAAACAGTGAAAGCTTTAGTAAAAAGAAAAGCCCGAGTAATTATGGGTTGTCGGGACATAGAAAAGGCAAGAGAAGTTATAAGAGAGATTCGTCGCACAATTTCTACTGGGGAATTGGTCAGTATGACAACGTACAAGAAGATTTTTCATAATGCTTTTAATGTTTGCTTCACTTGGTCCTCTGTTGATTTTAGGTACCAATGGAGTTAGATCTTGCTAGTCTAAAGTCTATTAGACATTTTGCTGTGGAAGTCATAAGAGATTTTCCACAGATTCATGTTCTTATTAATAACGCTGGTGTTGCTGTGCCTCCTTTGAGAGAATATAAAACCAAGGAGGGTTTTGAAATAAATATGGGTGTTAATCACATTGGTCATTTTTATTTAACTAAACTACTTTTGCAGAAATTAAAAGACTCAGCACCCAGCAGGTATAATAATAATGTAAATGTGTTATGTATGTACTTACTTATTTTTATTAATTTCTTAGTATGACTTTTTGATATATATCACAATATTTCTCGAGAGTTGCTGATTAACGTTTTTTCATTATCATTAGAATTAATTATTCATTAGTAAAGGGAAATCTTGTAATATACATTATATTGTACCACATCGGTGATACATTAGTCAATGGTTCCATCAAAATTTCACTGAATGCCACGTTTTTCAATCAGCAATAATTTGTTATGCATCAATAAAATTAGTAATAATTTCATAATTTAATGGTATATTATACCAAAATAATGGGAAATTTCTTAAGGAAAATCACCAACCAATATATGAAGTTCTAGGAGGTGTGATGGGTGGGGCATGTAACCCAAAGAGTACCATCTATGTGTCACTATTAGAACATAATAGTACTGTTCTTGATGCTATTACTGAAAAATGACCTTCAATTAATATGTAACTAATTGAATTACAAGGACAAAAGTAAATATGTTCAGCTTTAAGACATTTTAAAAATAACTATGCATTTAGATGTATAAATATTTAGATAATATTGTAAAAACACTAAAGAACGTTTGCTTCATTCTCAAAATATTTTTGGAAGTATTACCGGAAAAAGCATTGTTTAAAATATGCTGATTAGTAGTGGTTCATCAGTCTATTGTATACCTATTCAATAAAAAAAAATCATTTATCACAATATTTTGATAATATACATTATTAATTTAATTTGCTTCAACAATCATATCACGTTCCTTTGTTTTAAGAGTTATAAATTGATAATATGGATATTAATATGACCCTTTTATTAGATTATCCAAGTTTTTTTTCTAATCAATAGATTTGTTTTCATGAAATTAATAATTAGTAGTTGTTAAATGTCAAGATATTGATATCACGATTGTGTTGAATGTTATTTGCTTGTAGCGGATTTAAGATTTAATATTGAGGGAGCTAATTTTTTTTTTTTTTAACATGGGACAATAGTGGTTTATGAATAATTTTTTTCTTGTCTTCTGCACTTTCAGTAGCTGAAGTACATGTATTGTAGTTCAAAAGAGAACATATTGATATTGTTCAAAGATTTTGCTCTGATCATTCATAGAAAAAATAATAGACCAATGAAAATAATTAATTTTCTTGGATATATAAACAAATTATTGAAAACATTCTTTAGACTTCATATCTTTTCATTATATTTAAATGGACGTCATTTCAGACCTAATGAGGTCCATAATCTTAAAATCGAGGTGTTTCTGTGAATAATGCTTTGTAAGCTTTCTTTCACTGTAATAAACTGACGCACCCTAATTTCTAGATAATGGGCAAGATGAGGTCTGAAACATCATATGCTTAAATACAATGAAAACGCATGAAATCTGAAGGGAGATCTATCTCTCTGAAATTTCACAATTCAATAAATTAATTTTTAATTTTCTGTTTCTAAGTTCTTTAATCTGAAAGCATCCCCTCCTTATATCCACTAATGTTACTATGCTGTCATGACAGCTATCAAGTATCAAAAAGGAAACTACTGCAATCTGAATGATTCTATAATATTTAATTAAGTTTCAAATACTGAGTTGATATTGAGGAATAAATATTTATCTATAGTTTCTCGATTATAAGATTCATTTTCAATTTAAATAGAAATAACAAATGAAATTTTAAGAAGTAGAAAAAAAATAGTGTTATCAAATGAATCATCAGTAATGAGTTTTCTCTAGTAAATGTTAAATGACTTACCTCTTTAGATGTTTTTGGAGAGTTTCTTTTACTAGCCTTATTCTGAAATTTTTTTTGAATAATTTCTATCATTAATAACTTCAATTTTTCTGATATCAGTGTTTTTCAAGGAGGTTCCACGTTACAAGTTTCTTAAATTTTTAAGTACTCCTTCCTATCTTATTACTATCAAATTGTTGTAACAGGATTTTTCCTATTAGTGAATCGGAAAATACTTAGTATTTTATATTATTCTCTACTCTTCATTTTCTTTCAGGATCATTATTGTTTCATCTAAACTCCATGAAAAAGGTGAAATTGACTTTGACAATTTACTTGGCGAACATGGCTACGATGGTGTAAGAAACAGGAACCCAGCTTACAATAATGCTAAGCTCGCTAATGTTTACTTTTGTCGTGAATTAGCCAAACGACTTCCGGCTGATGTTGAAACCTTTGCAGTTTGCCCAGGGCTTTGTTTCACCAGATTAATGAGACATGCTGGAATTAAATGGTTTCAGTATATTATGCTGGCACCAGTTGCCCTTTTTTTCTTGAGATCTGCTGAACAGGTATTTCTAAATTATAGGTATTTTATGTTAAGACTTCATTAAGAGAATAAATCATTTTATGATCATTGAATGGTAAGACATTTCTTACTGCAGACTTCATTATAACCCTTTCAGTCCAGTCAAGGAATGAATTATAGTGCATGAGCTGGGACCTAAGCAATTCCTTCAGAAAGTTGTTTAGGGTGTGAATATATAAATAGTTCTCGACATCTAGGTGGTGAGCTGAGGGACGAGGAAAGGTCACAATTTTTAGGTTTCCGCATATATCTCAAAAATAGTGTATCGTAGGGGAAAAGTATCTAATAATAAATGAAAGTTTATAAAATTATCTAAAACTTTTATTTTATAGTTTTTTTCCGAATTCTTAACCATTTTCGAGGGTGTAGCTGGCAAATAAAAGTTGGCATTTTTGTAAAAATAACATTTTACCTCACATTTCTCATCCAACATTCCTTCATATTATCTAAGCTATTCATCAGCAAAAAAAAAAAATAATTTAAAAGAAGTTGTAGAAACTTAAATTTTCTATTATAATATTGTAACATCCCTCTTACATTTTACAAATAATAATAATATAACCTCGGAAGATCACTTTAACCGTTAGGATACTTCCAAAAGAAACAAGAGTTTGTTATAATAATAAACAAAATTATAAGAGTATTAATATATTTATTTCTCTCAGGTGTGAGTTTCTGACAATCAGATCAACCCAGACAAACTATTATTATTTACACTATTTATAATAAAATTAAACTCTAATTTTAAAATAAAGTCAAATCTGGTTGGCAAGCTAACCTTTTTTCTATAGATACTATTTCTTCCTTTGTTGCCCTAAATTCATTTGTCTTCAAATACTTTCTAATGTTCTGCCAAACATAACTTCCAAGATGGTAATACTATTATTGGGTTTTACCCACTGGATCACTTCTCCTTTCTATCCTCTCTTCACCCCAGCCAAAAACCAACTACTCTCCAAAATAAAAACCTTTGTTCCTCTCCTCTTTGGGATTTCTCTTCTTGGGAAACTATAGAGCAGCCATTTTCTATTCTCTGCACTAGTAGAACTAGATTAGCTTGCCTTTTAATTGTTAAACATTAATTTATTAAACCCTTTTTACTCACTTCCAATAAAGGTGTACATTACAATATATATACAAATTAATCTCCAACCAGTCTATAGTTACAGCTATTTTAAACTTTTCCTTAAAATTTTGTAACTTTTAGAAAAAATTGTTTTATCATATTCTTGATCCACAACTTTTGTTCATTTGTCTAATAACATGTGAGGCAACACTTTAAATCCCATTATTTAATAAAGTAGGAAAAACCATGTTACTTGAAAAATTTAATATTGTATTTTATGGATAGTAAAAAGTCTCATGATAAATTTATTCTATTTTTTTTATTCAAATGACTGAACAAAACCAGTGACCAAAAAATAACTCGAGTCAAAGTCGTCAATCCGCTATGTTTGGATGGCATTTTGGGACAGCGAGTTCACTTTTTTTGTGGGAGCATTGACTTTTTTTAATAATTAGTTGCAAGGAACAAAACGGCATGCAATTTATAGGGATGTGGAGAGGAGTGCACAGTAGGGGAGTCTGATCTAGGGATGGGATATCGAAGGCCCAATATCGATATTGTCATCTATATTATATACATTTTTAAAATATTGAATATTTAATAGTTCACCGTTGTATTTCGGGTGGATGTTACTATGATTCATCTCTGCTCCATTTAATATCCTTTCGTTTGATACCTCATTCATCAAAATATTCCACTCCTGAGAGCCGGAAAAGGGATCGTTACGGCAAAAAACTGTCGTATTATATTATAAGATAGAGTGACAAAAATAATATTACAATCACTTGTAAGCTAACTAATAAATTTACAGATTGTATTATGAGGATGTCATTAATAACATGAGCCTGTTAAATATAAGAGTGGTGTAAGTTTCAAGCCTATCTCACTATTTAAAAGCATGATGTTGGTGCATTTAAAAATTTATGTATTATTTATTACAAAAATGACAAACCAGTTTTTCATCTAACTGTTTATGGGTGTCTCTTCCTTGAGCTTTCAGATTATTGATACTGATTCTCAATCTAGTATGATTTTTAAATTTGTTTAATTATATATATATATTTTTTTATAGGGAAGCCAGACTGTTTTACATTGCGCATTATCCAATGATGTGATTGGCCACTCTGGTAAAATCTTCAGAGATTGTAAGCTGTATCATTCAAGCCATAAATTTGATAATAATATTCAAGAAAAACTATGGCGTGTCACTGACCGTCTTATTAACAAATACATCTAATTATTTTAAACATACTAAAACTACTTTATGTATGTCTTTTTGATGGTTCTTTGATGTTATATATGTATGTGATTTATTATAAGACTGAATGTTTTAGAGGAAAAAATGGGATCTAGTAGTTTTTCTCTTTCTCTCTAAAAGGAAAAGAATTTTGATGTGTGTTTACATAGAAATTAGAAATTATATTTTAGCTGTGGTGGTAAAAAATATTGGTTAAATACATTGTGATAAATTATCTCATTTCACTAAGGTTTAATTTTATTTGGATATAAATGAGTAATTTCTCACAATTAATTGTCAGAAACTGTTGATAAATAATATGTTAGCAGGTCGTTGTTTTGATATGCTTGTGGGAGAGTGTGGAAAGAAGAATTTCTAAGATAGTTTTTATATCTTATATTATGTCTTTCTTTCACAATTATTTATTATAAGTTAGAATGGTTAGTTTTCTTACTTGTTATTTATATATTGCTCAGAATAACTTGAATTTTCATTGCAGAAACATAATGAATATTAAAATGATAATAATTATTTTGGTACTAATGTAAGTAGTAAAATGTCATCAAAGTAGATTAAAATATTCTAAGAAAACTTAATCTCAATTGGGAGAAATATTTTGTTGAGTTATAAATCAATGGAGGGTGATATTTTTGGTAAAAATGAAAATCTCTGACTAAAACCAGTGAAAGATTATTAGTTTATCATTTAAAGTGGAGAGGCTTCCTGATATAAATAAATAACAATGCTTACTGTATGAAAAAAGTCATAGAATTCCTTAGTTGGATGCTCTTCACTGAATCACTTATTCTTTGAGCTTTCAGATTATTGATACTGATTCTCACTCTAGCATGATTTTTAAATTTGTTTAATTTATTTTATTTTTTGACAGGGAAACCAAACCATTTTACATTGTGCATTTATCCAATGTAATATAAACCGGTTGGTAAATACTTTGAACCTTTGGATAACCCTGATGAAAAATGTCATTGTTATAAGAAGGTGACAGTGTAGGAAAACAATTTTTTTCATTAATTATTAGCTAAGCCACAAACCTCATGCAAACTAATCTAGTCACTTTTATTATAATTTTGAGTAAAATTATTTTTTAGTTTGGTATTTATCTTTAGCAGTTTTAAATCGCGGAAATTGTGTATTTCAATTGAATCATTAGGAAATTTGTTTTGTGCTCCTTGTTAAAGAGTTTTATAGAGTTTATCATCTGTTTCATATAAAATAAAATAAAAAAATAGTATTAAATTTACAGAGCTTCTTGTGTATGATTTAAGTTGTAAATTTTGCAAGCTCCTATTTTATAATCATATCACTTAAATGAACTATGTAAGAATATCAAATGACAAAAATTATAAAAGCCTCCATAATTCATATGCATACATGAAATGTTGGATAAGAGAGTTCTAAAGCTATCCTAAGTTTAAAAAACTACATTTTAGTGATTTCAATTTTTTATTCATTTCTTTTTATTATAATATATTTTAATTTGTAAGAAGTTTCATTTACACAATATTTACGTACAAAATTGCATCCCTTTATTTGTAATTATAAGGTTCCTTTAATTTAGTGTTAATAATTTAATTATTAATTCTGATTTTACTTCTTATGTAGAAACGTAAGGGTTGAGTAATGTAGGGTTTAATAAATTAAATCTTTAAAGTTATTTGAGACATGCAGAAATTAAGAAAGTTTAACAGTTGTTAATTCTATTTATGGTACAATATGCTTTGTATCAGAAACTGAGGGGATTGAGAAACTGTATCAATTATTGTTTACTTCCACTTGCTCAATAGGTAAACAACGGCCTTATTGGCAGAAGTCGAATAGATAATCCCCTCCCTGCTGGTGTCCATCACAAAGTTTACAGTACCTTATTTTCCCTTGATGTTTTTGTATTATTCTGCTATGAGTGTGCTATAAATTTAACAATTTTATGCCACTTGATCGTATATGTATTTTAGACAATAAAGTTATCATCCATTTCTCCTACTTGGTGGTAACTTCGCTTGATTGAATGTTAGGAAGTTGTAGCAATACTATGTTGATGGCAGTTCTAAGTGAAAATAAATATACTTCTCTCTATCGTACAATTCACTAGTGTTACATCTTGATGATGGTCAAGGAAGTTATGATGGCTTGTGATGGTCTCTTTGGTTGACTTGTCATTATCAAAAATGAACATAAAAATTATGTTTTGATATTCTATGACTGGCACACAACGTTATTCTTGTAAACTTAATAAATCTTGCCTCAATGTTTATTTTAACTTAAATTTGATGAAAAGAGGTCCTGCATAATATTTTGTGAATCATTGATTGAAAGAAGATCATATAAAACTTCTAATTTACTGTAAAGCAAATAATAATTAAGAAAACAAATTCAATATTTATTGATTATATTATTTTTAAATTGAAGTTTTGAGGACCAACCAAATGATTCTTGTACCTTTTTTAATTGAAGTAGGATCTTTAAAAAAAATTAGAGATAAAGAGATGTACCTTCGTTTCTTTCTTTTCTTCATCTTACAATAAGATATTGATACAGTTAAATTAATGAAGAAATATTTTTAAATGTATTAATTTATATTTCCTCACTACTTTTTTTTTTTTGTATATTTTCATGATGAACTAAGAATGAGAAGTTAGTTGGATCAGTATTATTTGTACTAATGTTAATATTTGTCAAAATATAACTGTTTAAGATTCTTAGGAAGTCTATCACTCAATGTACTGGATTGTTATGCATGCTTATCAGTGTTTATAAAATAACTAACTAAATGTGCTGTGTATTATCTGATTGTTCAATAAAGTCGCATTCACTTGTGCAATTTTGTTTTTCTTTTAATCTCCCATATTCAAATCTTTAAATTGTTTTCAAAACAATTGATTGACCAAATGTTAAGCTATTTTAAGATGATTAAAACCACTAGGAGATCCAGGATTTAATTTTGGGAAGGGGAGCTTCACCCTGAAAGCTGTTATATTTATATATATATATATATATATATATATATATATATATATATATATATATATATATATATAATGATTATTAGTTTAGAAGAACAAAAAACTGACTAGCTATATGAAATGGTGTTTTTAGTGATTCTTAAAGTCTTATTAAATAAAAAATAACACCAACAAAAAGATAGGTACAGGAACCTTAATGCTTTTACAAATTCATTTCTTATATGTTTTCTTGAAACATGTTAACATTAAGTAGCCATATGGATTAGAATTTAAAAAGAGATATATCTTGTACATTCCTGTATGTAAAACTTTTTTTTTGTAACTCTTCCCACATTTAATGTGCAAGCGAAAAAATCATTTTGTATTTTAAAATATTTAACAAACGCTTTGGGAGAGGAATATTTTAACACTGGGTATTCTGAGTTCTGTATATAGAACAGAACATTTTAAATGGATGCGACTACCAAAATTGTTGAAGAATTTGCAATAAAAAAATATGTAAAACTTATATTTTTTAATAAATTAATTTAATGTTTTTATAACAAAGATTAATTTCAGTTATTTTTTTTTTTGTTTTTAATTTTAAGAAATTTTTCTTGAAACATACTTTTTGGAGCCCACTTAGGCCTCCCACTTGTCTTGATTTCAACGGTCTATTGTGAACATAATCCTCGATGGTCGCAGAATTTGTTGTTTTATTCTTGAGATAAAAACAGTCTGGGCGCATATATGTAAAAAAAAACAGTTTTTTTTAATAAAAAGCTTTATCTATTTCAATCATTTCTTTATTTGAAGAAAAGTAAAAAAATTTACTTCTGCCTTCATGAATTTGTTGGAATATTAAATGGAGGCCAACCAAAAATGGAATTCTGTATTTTTTTTTAGATAATATAGATCTAAAAAAGGGCTTTTTTTTTTTGTAAAAATGGTAATTTGAAATAAAAAATTTAATTAAAATTTTGGGAGAGATTTCAGCCCAAAAGCTTTATATATATTAATGATTTTTATAATATATTCATATTCAAAAATATTCGTTGAAGTTAGAAATATTGTGTAGGGGAGGACCAAACCCCTACATTGTATTTAATGCTAGTATTGGAATTAATTTATCTTTGTTATTTGAAAATAAATATATTGTATAAATCTGATGTTTAATTAATAAGGTGTATTATTATTTCTTTGATATAAAATACAATTGATACTCAAGTATAGTCCATCGTTATCTGCCATCTGCTAGCCAATTGCTTGATCCCACGCTGATACCATTCATTGGGATGGCTGTCAAAGAACTCTTCGACCGCAACTTCAACTTCCGCAAAATTACCAAATTTTTTCCCTTGAAGAAAATGGACCATGGATCTAAAAAAGTGATCCGAAGGTGCGAGGTCTGGACTGGATGAGGCAGGAGTTTTCCAGGCAAGGGTATTTCGATAAATTTTCACAAATTTCTAACCTCTTGGCTGATTGCTGAGGAGTAAGTTCGTGAGTGACCAGTTGATGCTCTGTTTCACCTTCCCCATGGAGAGTAGATGGCGACTAACAGTATATTTGAACACATCACACTCCCTTGCAATTTCGCAAGAACTTGAGTATGGATTAGAATCATGACTAGTTGCTTCAATGGCTATGAATTTTTTTTTTCCAGTAATGCCTTAAAATTATCAGAATTTCGTAGGACACTGTCCTACTTCTTCTTTGAAACAAATAATAAACAGGCTTTTCTTGAAGAAGTCGAATGGGATCGAACAAGCTTAGAGGATGCTCTAAAGGAATTATTAAGTATTTAAATAAGATTAAAATATTTACAGTCCTTTGAAATATTGAATTTGACATAGCGGTCATGTTTTTTATATATCCTATTATTTGATATTGTGTATGACTAGAATAATATGTTGTTTTATTTTAATATTAACTATTGTTGAGGGAGTTTTTTTTATTTATCATGTTTGTCAATTCTTTTTTTTCTTTAGCCCAAGACTTTCATTGAAGTCCTATACTCCTTGTCATTTCTTAAAAAGTATCTATAAAAATAAAATTATCAGACGTTGGTGTAAATCATTTAAACACATTTAGTATTGATGTATTTTGTGATATAACTATTGTGTAATTGTTGACTGTTTATAGTAATTATTTTAATTTTACTGTAATTGAACAGATTTAATATTAAAAAATATATATATATTTTATTTCTTAACTGTTCATAATTTTATATGTAATTAATTATATAAGTATTAGTTCTTAGCATAAATTATTTTCATGTTTTTATTTTAAAAATAAGTATTATTAAAACTTTATATATTTATAAAAAAATTATAAAAACAAGTTTTAAAATATTTTTTAATTGGAGAGCATCGGAATGTAATGAATTTTATTTATCATGTATTCATGCTTAAAAATAAAGGTTTGAGTTAATAATATTATGGGGGAAGAGGGCCCAATTCCAACTCGTTTTCTTCTGGCCGTTGGTCAGTATGCAGTCTGTTTGTTCCGGAATGCTTTCGAGAGAACATGCCCATAGTTTAAACTTATATGAAGACTATTTTCTAGTGAAGTATCAGTATCAGGATTATGCAGTGTAATGCGTGAGATCAGATTTATTAGAGAGACTGTATCAAGAAGCCATAAAAATAGTAATTTATCTTTTTTATTTTTAATTCACTTGTCATATTTTTTTTAGATTTAATAAAAGTTTATAATGTAAAAGTTTATTCCATCCTTAATAATTCACAGTCCCAGAACAATTTAAGCCCTCAACATCCAATGAATTAACATAAAAAAAACAACCTTAACCACTACAACCCATGAGGGATTTTCTTGGGTTCATTACTATTTAGTAAAAGTACCGTTTCTTAGTCAACAGTTGTGAAAGGATGTGATTTGACTGAGATTTATCAATTTTAAAAAATCAGAACAATATAATAACTATAATTACTTGAGAAGAAAAAGAAAATAACTTGTGAAAAGTGATTCTTGAAGCTCAATTAAAAATTTAATTACACAAACAATAACACTTAAATATTTTTTTTTGTAAGATATGGTTATTTTTAGTAAATTTATATGATTAACATATAACTACACTTATTATATTCTGAAGAACTTGGTAACGTATCATGGATTCATTGAAATAAGTTATTTGAATGGTCATAGCCAGCTGAGGAATGTACTTTATGAAGTAGCAATGAGAGAAAGGCAAATAGGTTTTTTTTTTTTTTTTTCCTGATTACTTCCTATCTCGGCCCTTTCTGGAATTTGGGAGGATTGTTCTTAAGGTACAGCCAAACCTATTCTAGCCGTAGTGGAAAGATCGAGATTCATTCCATGGATCTGTCACAAAATAAATTCCAAATCGCGCAGGCCGGAGTCGCTAGACTTGATAATACTGAAAACTGATAAGTTGAGGCAGTAACACTCATGACCTAAGGCAAATAGGTCTGTAGCAGGAGCAATCACTTTGGACTTTCTTTGGTTGGGAATCAAAACCTACTTTCATTCCTGAAGAATTCTTTCATCGCCCCAAACTCTTTGGAAAAAATTTTATAGAGCCCTTAATAACTCTGGTCCTACATTTAAGAAATTCTTGTTTTTCCTGTCTCCATCTTTGCAAAAATCTTCCTGTTAAATTCCTTATTTTTTTTATTACTACTAACCACAAGAGACTTAATTACTCAAATTAATTGTGTTTAAGTTAATTAAGAGGAAGCTATTGTAGAAATTCGGCATTTAAGCTCTGTAAACATTCTAAAGAATGTTACCAATGGGTAGTTTCACAAGCGTTTTCATGTGATTGTATTATTATTACCTTGTGCACATTTACTGGATGTATTTTTTATTTATTCAGTTGTAAATCTCATGAATAAATAAAAATAAAAAAGCCCTTTTAGGAAGATAAGACCTATCTGATATTAAAAATCATATATTTGAACATTAAAACAAATTTAATAAAAATAGTAACTTAAATGCTGTTTTTTTATTTTGTCCATTTCCTTTGGGTGTCAACTACTAAAAATTGTAAGATTTAATTAAAACATCAACTATTCATAAATTATTGTAAACAAAATATTTAAAGTGAAAGTATGACAAAAGAATGTTGCAGCTAGTCAAATTGTCTGGGAATCATTGGTGAAAATGTAAGAGGCCATAATAAACTTCAATATTATAATTGCCAACTTCTGAAATGAAAAACTGGATTTTTTTCATTAAGCATGATAACTTCCAGTGTGTTATATTATCCTTATCTAACATTTTGATTACAAAAAATACTCAATTTTTTATGGTAAAAATAATTGTTATCATGTGTATTTTAATTAATTTAAAAAAATAAACTTAAGATTAAAAGTTTGAGGAGAAAAAACGTCTAGAACACAAAACAATATTTTGTCATTAGTCAAATATTCGGTTTAAAAATAATTCTTTTTATTTTAAATATTTGTTTGTTTCACATAGGAAAAAAAGGGTATATTACATATTTGATTAGAAATGCTCAAGTAATTTCATTTTAGTTTCAAAAGCTTTTGCTAAAAAATAAACAATTATGTTTTCAATAATCATAATAGTTTCATGTACACATTTTTTTTAAAGCACCATAACCTATTGTATTTACAATAAAATTGTAATGCTGCTCAACTGTGTTGAGTTGCTAACTGACACAGCATACTAATCTATCTGGTAGACAATATCTAAAACATCAGCTTTATACACTTTGCATATAAAAATGTCATTTATTGTTCCTTTCTTTTCTTATCCTCATTCTTCTCAATTCTGTCACCAGGAAATTTATTAAAACTTTAGAAAAGAATAATTATTTATTTGATAATATAACTAGTTAGGTTGATAGTAATGGCTATTTGATAAAGCTAAAAAAACTTACCTTTGGTCCAACGCTAAAGTGGCATCTCTGGATTGCTATGTTCGGGTTAACTATTTTCTGTTTTTAAAGTAATATTGAATAGTAGTAACTAGGATCCAGATCTAAATTTACCAAGAAACATATCTTAAAAATCAATTTTTAGATCTAAAAAAGATCTTAAACTGCTTATTAACGATAAAAAACAGTATACAAAAGTATCTGTAGAGTTTAAATATTGTTAAGTAAATATAGAAGTATGTGATGTAAATTGACTATAAAAGTTGATGGAATCACTGTGCCAATGGTTTCATTCAATCGATGAATAAATGAACGGGCTGAGTTCCATAGATTATTTTAGTAACTTTCTCAAATATTTATATGTTTGGGAGAATTAATATTGTCTAAATTTATTGAAAATAATGTATTATCTCAAATTTTTAATTCTACTAAATCCTTATTATTTTAAGAGTCAATTGTAAAATAAAGTAATAAAGTAAAGTCAGTTGATGGCCATTTCATTAAAAATAAAAATTTAATGGTTTTTATTTTCATAGAATTGGTAGCAAATAATTTACTTATTTTTTTTAAAAATGTATAGAACAGAAAAACATTTCATACTATGTTGCCGTAGATTCAATAAAGAAGCTTTTTTCATTTATCTCAGAATCATCCACGTTATGTGTTCTTAAAGATTGTTCTACATTAACTTAGATAATCAAATCAAAGGAAACATGTTTAAACAGCAAACAAATTGTTTTGTATTAAGTTGATTGATTAGATAATTAAGCATAAAATTATACATAATCATTCGAAAATATTCTATTAAATCAAACTCTGAATGAAGACCCCAGAAAAGATTTTTTTTTTGGTATAAATAAATATTTTTTGGTGGAAATTGAAAAAAAAACAACAAAAAAAAGGTCTACTTTAGTGCAAAATTATAAAATAGATCAAAAAAGATCCTATAAGAATTTATATTTTGAATCTACTATTCAAGATCGGTATAGATCTGTTTTCCTTTTAATAGAAAAAAATATATATATAAATCCTTAAAATCCGAACCTAGTAATAACATCATGACTGAGGCAGCCACGACTGATTTACATAAGAAATTAGCTTTATTACACCTGCAACCACGTTTTCAAATCCAATTTTTGCAGTTTGACAATTTTTCTGATGTCACTTAAGCACTGCATCAATTATTTTGATGATATGTAAGTGGTTTTTAAATTTCTTCATGGTCTATTATAAATGGCAAACTTAAAAACCAAATGATAATTTCTTAAGACTTACTTCTGTGAGTCATATTTACTTTTTTTTTTTTGTTGTACCATGTACAACTACATAGGCACCTTATTCATTGTTTAACTAATTTAATAATTAGGTTTATTTGAATTTAAATAATGAGATAATCCTTGAAAATACAAAGTTATATGAAAATTTCAGGATTAGTCGTTAAATGTAGCAAGTCTAGGTGTTTTCTATTATATTAATTCATGTACAGAGCCTGGTGAGAAATTGATAGGCAATTAAATGCTCCATTAGTAGAGATCTCACAGCCACCAATTTTCATTGAATTTGTAGTATCATTACCATTTTTAATTTTTTTAAATACATAATTTTAATTAAAATTAGTTTTTTATTATCAGTAGTATCCTACAACAAATATATCAAAATTAAAAAATGAGTACCTTGAAACTTCAAGTTAAATAATCAAATTTTTATAAAATATTAAAACCATGCTGATTTTGCCAAGGAAAGCCAAGCTTTCACATCCTTTCAAATTTATAAATAACCTATAATTTTATAGAGTTTCGCTTAAATCATTACATAAAATAAACTCTGCAGTGATGAATACTTATAAAAATTTTCATGGCATCTGAATGTGTAACAAATTGAAAATACAGGTAACAAAACATGATAATACAGATGGAAATTTTAGAATGATATAGAAATGGTATTAACTTATGTTTTAACCTACCTTAAAACAAATAAAAAACTACTTTCTAATAAACTGTATATTTTAGTTAAGAGACAACAAGTGTGTGACAAATGATCATTTTTCTCCATTTTATTATAGTTTTTTTTATTTATTTATTTTTATTTATATAACAAATTAGTTAATTAACAAATACTGCTTGTTTCCCAAACCTTAATTACTTAAATATTCACATTTTTTTTCTACATTTGACAGAAATGAATAATGAAGAACAGAAATTATAATAAACAACAGGTGATCAGCTAAAATCACAAGTTTTTGTGTGGGGCAACTAAATACACGTATTTGGCACCAAACATTTATCAATTCTTTTCTGATCTATAAAAGCTTCTCCAAATATAGATTTTTCAGAATTATAAATAAAAAATTATAAAATAAAATCAGATGTAACATTTTTTTAAAACGCGAAATGACTAAAGTTTTAAATAGGCATTTTTATTTTGATATATATATACCCAACACTTTATTGTCTAAATTGTTTAGCTATACACAAATGTAACAGAGAAAATATAAGTAAACCAGATTGAATGCAATAACTGAAACAATTTTGTCCCATTACATGAAACCAACCTCAAGCATTCACTGTTGTTTGTTCATTTTTATTTTTTTTTTAATTTTTTAATCTAATTTTTTAATCAAATATTTCACTATATTTGTATAAACAGTTCATGAGAAAAACAATATATTTCCTAATAGGCTGATGAAGAAATATAAAATTAGATTTAATGTGAATAGTATAATTTATATACATTACATCTAGACTCACTTTGCTTTTGTTGAAAGTGAACACAAAGGGTACTAGGGAAACAGTAAAATTAATTTGACTTATTCGATAACAATTTTTTTAAAGCTTTCTTTAAAATTGAAAATACAAAATAAAAAAGTTGAATAAACTTTAATTCATAGTTTTTAAATCTTTGTTTCTTCTTTTAAAAAAAAATTAAGAAAAAAAAAGCTCGTGTAGAATATAGTATGCGGAAGATTGCTTTTACCCGACCCTGAGAGCATTGGATCCACACTTTTTCAAAAACAAAAACATACAAATTCACTTTTATAGACAAAATACGTGCTATTCATTCTCTCATTTTTTTGTTGTTTTTAAAAGATATACTTAAATATGTGCAAATTTACATATTAAACAAGGGTTACAGTATAATTAGCAATAGCATCATAATAAAAACAATAACTAATATTACACAGTTGAGGTGAGTTGATATAGTATGATATAATTTATTTTAACAGTAAAAATAAATCACTATAATACAGAACCCCCCCTCACACACTTTTATCGTTCTCACAATCATATAATTCCTGCCCTGGCTTATTAAGTACGATTGTAACTAAAAAGTAATTGCAATTCAAAATTTGTTTACCAGAACATTCTTTTTGTTTAGGGGGGATAGGGGAACATTCCGCAGTCCTAATTTTGGACCCGTTTATCCACAAGGAGAATAGCACAAGTTTACAAATACTGTATTACCTAAGCGTATATACATTTATATGAACACACACACTCATACACACATAATATATACAAATACATATATGCAGATATATATACGTGCATGTGTGTGTGTGTGCGTGTGTATGTAGGTGTATATATATATATATATGAATAAGTGTGTAACTATCTTCACTCCATCATTAAACTGTTCTTTGTTTCTGAACCAAATTTCATATATATAACTGCTTATTCTCCTTATATAAATACAGTTACCGAAAAGTAATCATTACTCTTCTAAAAAGTGCACTTAACATACACTTTTTTTAATTTCCCAATCTCTCTCTTGGTAGTTTTTTGTTTCATACAAACCACTAATCATATTTACATGGTGCGTAGAGAGATTCACCAATCGTTTCGTGTCGTTTAGTTCCGTCGTCACAGTATACATATATGCCGATAAATGTATAGTGTACCGAGGCTGATATCTCCTAGCGATGGCCAAAGTGCAGCAGCCGCCAAGGAGGGCTATATGACGGAGTGTAAGGACGGGGGGAAGGCTGAGAGTCATAGCTTCAGCTCATTGGCTATCTTCGATGCGATGTTCTTGAATCCTATCGAGGTTCCTGAAATTCGTTTAAACCGGACACCGTTGAGAGAGAGCCTAGGCAACTTGCAAACCTCTATCTCCCACTGGACAAGTGAATCAGTGTTAGGATCCCCGTGTACACAAAGTAGTAGAAACCTTTCTCTTTGCTCATAATCACAATTGTTTGCATCTAACACCTAAAAGAAATAATTTTATAAAACAATTTGTATATATATTTTTTTTATGAATTTTTCTATTAAATTTACATTTCTGGTACTTTAAGTCATACACAATGTTAGGAATGATTAAAAATACAATAAGAACTACCTCAGTAAAAGGGTGGGAAATTTAAGGAATCTGAAGTTTTTCTATAATCGAACTTTTAATTTTTTATTTCTTTTTGACTGATACTATCAACAAGTAAATTATTTTTTCATATTTGTCTTATGCTGTTCATTCTACAATTCATTTATTGAAAAATACATATAAATAAAAAAGGATCCTACTGTAATACTAAGTCAGCATTAATTGACTTCAAATAAATAAATATGTTAATAATCTCACAAAATAAAATAGTGCGTAAATTATTCATTTTTTCACAGGAAAACAACTGACCTTATTTCTACAAAATGTTTTCTTTGTTACAAAGAACCAACAGCATAAGGGGTTTTAAATAATATCAACCTGCCATCTACCACCTTAAAACAAAATTCTGGAAAATCAAAATGTTTTGTCCACTTTTCTTTCATAAAAAGGAAGCTAAACTAATATTGACCAAACTTTATTTGTAGTTATTTAGAGCCATAAAAAGATTTTTAATAACATTAAACTGTTGTATGCAATCTTGAGAAAACTGAGATCAGGATGATAAAATTAAATCCCTACTTTATCCTTTTGAAAACTAAAAAAACTACTAACAAAGGGAGGTTACGGAGGTAAGGTCACCGATTTCAATAAAACTTTTTTTGGTGACACAAGGTCAAAAAATATTATACCCATGTCCAAGGGTTCTAGTCAATGCCCTAGGAGCTGAGAAAAATTTGTTTTTATAAAATTTTATTATTTTTTTATGTTACTGTTTTCTGACTTTGCTCTTAATAAATTGATAAGTTATTATATATCCATTGATTTGTTTTTTTGTGTAAAATAAGAAAAAAATATTGCTTATTGTATGAAACGAATTCTTACATATAATAAATTACAAAAACCCATAGACGCTTCCAATAAAGTATGCCAGTACTCCATAGATCAGTACTATTTGTATCAATATTGAACACATACTATAGCTGTATGCTAAATATATATTTTTTATGTATATTAATATATTTATGTATGTATATTAAATATATATATTTTTTTCTATACCTGACGGGTATCAAAAGTAAGATTATATGCACAAAATCTAGTATTTTGTCGAGATTCAATTCGAAAATAAGAAAAAAGAATGTATTGTACATATTATACAACATGAAATACAGGGGATAATATTGAAATTGGGGATAAAAAATATGAAATTCATTTTTAGCACACTTAAAAATTCTTAAATCAGCATTTTCGTTGCAATTGAAAAATGAAAATTTTTTCGCTTACATTAATATCTCTTGTGAGATCCATTTATGTTTATAGCTTTATAATAGATATTAGACTAAAAAAAAAAATACATTTATTTTTCGATTGCAATGGAAATTTCCTAAATATTTAACAGTTTTAATATCTAGTATAAAACTTTAAACATAGATGGATCTTAAAAGAGATATTAATAATCATATTTTTTTATCCCCAAAAAATAAATTTCATGGTGTAATATGTACATTAAATGCTTCATTCTTATTTTCGGAATGAATCTCGACAAACTACTAGATTTTGTATAATCTTATTTTTGATACCAGTCTGGTATAGAAAAAAAAAATCACAATCACATTGATCACACAATTTCATACATAATTAATTAGATAAAAAAATAAAATATAATAAGAAAAGATTATACATATTACGGTGGCACCTGTGAAAAGTGTGTTAAGTGCAATTTTGTCAATTTATATGGGTATTATTTGAAAGATAATGTTACTTTCTTTCTTTGTGTCTAAGGGGCTAAGTTACGCGACTGTAACAGAGATGAACATTCCTTAGTAAGTCATGGGTTAAAACTGGAACATTGAACTTGCATCTGTGAAAATTCCAAACTTTCAACTGTGTTTTTCCTTAAATATGATTCCTGTACTTAATACACTATGCACAAGTTCCACAGATTTAATGTTATATAAAAGTAATGAAAATGAAAATTTAGTCTCATTGATGGAAAATTCTCAGCTAATGAGAATTGTGAAGAATAAGTGGTATGAAAATGAAAAAAAGAAAAAGTACAAACATATATAAGGTTGAATAAAAAAAAAAAAATGTAATAAATTTACACAGTAAAATTACAATTATGCACAATATCCCACAGTGGCGGATCCAGAAATGTTATAAGAGAGGAGGGAGAGGGGTGCACTTGTCAAACAGGTGAATTCCATAAACCAAAGGTATATATTGTAATGTCAACATTATATGGCATTTGAATATTGGCGCGAAAGTGGTAACAGCACGAACTACGGGGAGGAAGTGCGTTCGGATGGTGGGGGAAGCAAGCCTCATGTAACTCAGAATGTGACGGGCCGCCAAGAGAGAAGGTGATAGCGGCCAAGAGAGAATGTGACAAGCTGTCAAGAGGGAAGGTGACGAGCTGCCAAGGAGACGGTGCTAGCCAGCAAGCTGAGAAGGTGAAAAAGGAGTCCTAGCCGGTTCGAGTGTTGATGAAGGCCACTAGTGGAGATTATTTTATGTTGGAAGAAAAAACATAATAGAAAAGAATTAAGTGGTACAGAAAACGGAACATTCGTAAGTAAGAAGAGATTATTTCACTGACAGGCGTAAACATTTGGGTGAGTGCTAACAATGCCATTTATGTGACAGAGTGATAGAACCAAAAGTTTAGACCGGGACAAATTATTTTATAAAACTATTTTAAATTATATATAAGTGTAGTTAGTAATTAGTAAATTAGTGTAGATTATAGTTATTTAATGTTGAATGAGTGTTCAGTTGTCAGAACCCAACCTGAGAATTAATGTTATGTGTTAAAATAAATAGTATGTTGAAAAAGGAAACTCGTTTGATTTTGGAGGGAGAGAGGAACCTTACAATATATATATATATGAATGAAAAAAAAAAAAAAAAAATGAGTATTTTAGTTTTTTGTCAGGGCGGGTTGGCCAAATGGGCTAAAGCGTGTGCACAGCACTGCCGTTGCCCGGCAACCTGACATATGAATCTAATGATATAAAAATAGTCACGAGTTCGCGTCCCGGTGCCGAGGGAGTCTTTTAAATTCCCGCCAACACTCCCTGGCCCGGGAAAACCCTGTATAGCCTAAACGGCGAGGAAGGGGAGGACCCAAAAAAAAAATTTAGTTTTTTGTTTTGCCAAATATTTTGCCATAAAATTTCATTCAATTATCCTTTGTTTCAGTACTACCTAATTCAAAACAAAATTACCTTTCTTATTTCTGACATGATTTCAACTGGATCACGTGATGAAGTTGTTTTCATACTCCATGTAAACCGAAGAGATCTTGGTTTTACCTGGTCATCATTCACTGCACTACTGCAACATAAATGAAAAATTATTTATAGCATAACTATTAGTACTTGTATAGAATGAGAAGTAAATCTGTAAGTAAATAATTTCTTATTGGCATTAAAATAAAAGCAATCAAAACCTAAAATAAATCTGCAACACTATAATCATGAAATAATAGGTTGGGATGATATGAAACTGCACATCAATGATTCATTTTACCTTCACAAGAAACTCTGGGTTCCCTTAAACGAGTAGAATTATTAAAGGTGAAATAAAATGTCTTCGATTATATTAGGATATAACATGAGAATATATCCTTAATGAAAGGACTGCAGTAGAAATAGAGGCTGCAGCACTATTGGATACCAACGAAAAAAGTAGCTGGCATGTTTAGCCAATCTGAGAAGAGAAGATACAAAAGGCAATTATTAAAGTCCATGAGGGAAAACCAACAGGCCAAAGAGGCTCCCACAGAATACATAGAACAAAATATCAAGCAGATAATTTTTTTTTTTTATGAGTAAGTTATGCAATGTTGAAGGCTCAGTGTAGTTATTAGTTTGTATTTTATAAGACTATTATTATAATGAAGAAGGAAAACAAGGAAAGATATATATAGAATATAGATAATGTATAAATTATGTCCAAGTGGATTGATTGGTATGCTGTGTGTAGAGCAACCTTATGTAGTAGGGCAGCACTACTTTCAATAAAATATTTCTCTCTCTGTATAACAGAACAGAGCAATGGAGAATGCTAGCAAAGATTGGACTAGAGTGGAAGGAAAGAAGAGAGGAATAACTGATTTTAATTTTAATTTATACTGTATTTTATACCTGTATATTAACATTTAAAAAAACAACAACAATGATTTAGATCATAAGGCTTTATACAGAAATATCATTTCCAAATTTATAGCAACATTTCCCTAAACGTGTTTTTATTTTTATTGTTTTATTAAAAAATTACAACATGAATTTTTATTAAAAATTCAACTATTAAATCTTACATTTGATTCAATAGTTCTTGAGAAAAATAATGCTTTAAGGCAACTTTGTGAAAAGAAGTTTGCAGTCATTTTTAAATAGATACTATAGTGTGAGTACTTTATTTTGTGTAAATCTAATTTTTTTCTGCAATAATTTAAGCTAAAATTATAAAATGAAACAAAAAAGTAATTGACAAAAAAAAAAGCTTATTTTAACTATCTGATCCTACGTACCTACAACATTTTGGTATTGACTCATTGCTAACTTTCGGGGAAATAAAAATTGGCTCATTAGTTAAAAAGAATAACAGTTCTTTGAAAAATAAAAAACAGTAAAAATGATATTTTTTTTAAATAACTGTTTTGGATTAAGAGAACCCTAAAAGTGTATATTAAGAAAACAACAAAATAAATATTTAAAAAACTTAATATCTGTGAAGTCAACAAACTGTAGTCAGGATTCTACACCAATATGTATTAATAAGAAAGGAGATTTCATTCAATATATAAAAAAATCTTTTACAGAGAGCAGTTAATAACATTAAAAATCTTTCAGCTACACATAAGTTGTCAGATTAAATCACATAGGACATGTTGATAACCAACACAGAAGAGGTTTGTACGTAGGCCATGTTATATTTATAACGAACAATCTTAATATCATTAAAACCGAATACAGTAGGGGTTTGTTCCAGTATATTCATAGATCAAGTTCATGTCACATAGATTTATATGTGAAAAACAAATTTTTTTTATGATTCCTAAAAAAAACTTTATAAACTGTTGATATTTGAAAGTTGTTCCTGCAGGAGATAACTTTTGAAATTAATTTTCACTAATAAATTCAAGCCTAACAAAACCAGCCTCTAATTAAACACTAATCTTAAATGTAAATCAAATTAGGGCATCATTTCCAGCTAGAATTGTCCACGCAACACAACACTATGATATGTATCAAGTGGGTCATCTACATTTGTAGCAATCCTTCAATGAGACCCTTTCTATTTCACAACTTCCTATGCTGTTTTAAATCTTTTGAATGAACAAAAGGTGCAGTGAACTGTTCATGACTCCTAATCATTGAACTACTTATCTAAATGAAAGCACTAAAGGCGATTTCAAGATATCTGTATTGCGCTGCTTCTAATTAACATTATCCACATTTATAATTGAGTAAAGCTGAAAATATTGGCCAGTCGAAGTGAATGATTTGCTATTGAAATATTCTCTCCCTATTCCAGTATTATTCTCAGAGTGAACAGTTTCTTCTATTGACACTCTTTCAATAACTATGATTGATGCACTTAATATAATTCTGTATTTGTAACTTGTTCTGAAGGGACACTAGTCCCAGAATAATAAAATTATTATCATTCATTCACTTTCAGCCTTCAGATAAATGTAGTCCACATTGAACAGATAGTATAATAGAAGCATAGGAGAAAGAGAAAGAGGGATTGCACACACCTCTCACCAAGACTGGCCAACATTTCTTTGTTTTATTGTAGCTTCCTCATATTTTTGTATGATTAAAAATAAAAATAAATTGAAGAAGGAGAATAGAATGAAATATTATATGATTATTTAATTTTATTTGTTATGCTTTTAATAATTCATAAAACTTTGGGACATCACAAATTATTCTTTACTGAACTCCTGTGTTCCATGGATGATAAAACATGGTTTAAAGGTCGATAGTGTTTCTCTTAATCAGGGTTACTAATATTTGATGAATAATCATCATAATTATCATGGAAAAAATTTATTTCAATAACATAACTTTCATCTTGTATCTACTGTCTGCCATTTTTAAATGTAGCTCGTCATGTTCTTCATGAAAAATATTGAGTTGTCGGGAAAATAAGGCAGGATTTTGGTTTCAAATGAAAAAAGAAAGATTTAAAACTGTTTAATTTAATCAAAATAATCTCTACTACTATCAATACATTTCTGCCAACTTGTTGGCAACTTTTTTATTTGACCGGAATAGAATTTTCCATCTGTAGACTTGATAAACTCCAAAAACGCATCTTCTAATTCCCTTTGTTTATTAAATTTTTTGTCATGTAAGTAGTGGTCCAGGTATCTAAAAAAATGATAATCTGTAGACGAGAGATCCAGAGAGTAAGGCAGATTTAATACCCAAGCTCCAACAGTTTTGTGAGGTCAAACGTGAGACATATAGCATGACATTGCCATGCAACAAAATGGGCCCCTTCCGATTGACCAAAGATGGCTTCATTATTGTCAATTTCTGATGTATTGCATTAATTTGGTTACAACACAATTTAGCATTGATGGTATCTCCTGGATTTAAGAAGCTGCAGTGTATCAAACCAAATGAAACCCACTAAACAGAAACCATCGCTTTTTTTTTTTTTTTTGGTTGGGGCTTTAGAAAATGTTCTGCTACTTCTCATATGTCGAGCCACTAACCAGAACATCTACTGTTATCGTAAACTATTCACTTTTCATGATAAGTAACAATTCTGGACAGAAAAGAGTTGTTTTTGTTTCGGCAAAGAAGTATAGCACAAACTTTTTTTTGGTTGCCATTTAATGAGTGTAGAATCCAACTTCCAAGCTTTTTTTATTTTTCCCTATCACCTTGAGGTGATCATTGATGGTCAATTTGCGAAAGTTAAGTTTCCCTGCAAGTTCTCGAACAATTATCCTGGGGTTTGCTTCCACCAAAGTTCGTAGTCAAGAGAGAATTCCTCTCACAATCTTCTTTGTCTTCAAGACTGAAGTCTTCCTCCCAAAATTTTTTGACCCACCGTTGGACAGTGCACTCATTAAGTTGCTCTTGTCTCAGACTTGATTGATGTTTCTGGCCATCTGGGACCCGTTCCGGCCGAGCTTAAACTCGAAAAACAAAATTATATGAAAATCACACGTTGACATCTTAGTAAAAACTGAATTATTTCTAAGCAGCGGAATACTACAGAGATAAACATACATTAATGTTTGGAAGAGGATTAATAAGTGTTCACATTTAAACAAATGAATAATCCAGTAAACGTAAAAAGTTTGTTATATAGAGGGGTATTCTGAAGAAAACTCAAAATCCTGCATTGTTTTCTAGACAACCCAATAAATTTGAGCGACTTTGAAAGTTATAAGAAGATGGTAAATTTTTTGAACCGATGATCGTGGAGAGTGGGGTAGCTCAGCGAGTAAGCACTGACTTCTTAAGCTCAAAAGATATCCTCCTGAGGCACACTCGGCCTCTTTACAGTGGGTACTCCTAATTAAATAACTAATTAAAAGGAAAAACCTGGCAGTGGAGCAAGACCTTGGTCAAATCACATTCTTGCACAACCATTGACCAAGAATAAATAATACTTTCTTACTAAGTAATGAACCCAAGATCCTTCATGGATTATAGTGGTAAAGGCTCTTTATTTTCCCCCCCTGATGATAGTAGAAAATTCTAGTTTTCACCTAAATATTTTTTGTGATATATGCTGACAAATAGAAAAACACATCTACTCCATTGCATAAAAATGCAGTCACTGGTTGTGACATAAAGAAATTAATAATCACTATCATTAAAAATCATTCATTATTCTTTCCTTTTCTTATACATTATTCTTTAGTTTTTTAAAAAAATCTGACAATATAAATGTAATCCCAGTAAAAGTGATCAAACATTTAAATTTGTTAAAATACAAATATTAAATTAAAAATTGTACAACCATTAAAATGAATAATTTGAAAAACATAGATGAACCATTACATCTGTTCATGAGCGTAAATCATTGTAAGTTTGATATTTCTGAGTTAGATTTTATTATTTAATTTACATTATTTTGCTTATATTTTCTGAGAAATAAAGTGTCATAAAGGGGCTAAAAGGATAATACAAAATGTAACACTTGAATATATAGACTGTCCTTTATCGACAACAAACAATAGATAAATTTCAAAATTTTCCTCTCCTATAACACTTTGATATTTTATTTATGATAGTTAAACCCTGAAGATTAGAATTAAATTTATAATGCTCATATTGTGATAAAATTTATAAGCTGATATCAAATGTTGATCATAAGTTGTATAAAACTTTTGAACTATGAAATTATCAACCAAATCTTTGAGCTGCTAAATCCTGATTGATGCAATATTATAATTTTCTTAGTTTCTTGACACTATCTAATTTCATGCTTCAAAGAAAAATAAACCTCTACTGTGTTTACTAAATATTTGCAAAAAATAACTAGTTAGAACAAAAAAAAAAAAAAAAAAATGCATGCTTAACTTAAAGGTATTTGAAAACTTCAACTAACAAAGCTTTCACACAATAAAAGCACCTTGATAGTAATTATTTATTTAAAATCTGATAATTAATCCATTTAACATACCTAACAACATGTTTTGGTACCGGGTCCATAGGTCTGAAAAAAAAGAAAGAAGAAATAGTAGAATAAAATAAAATACTTCAGGGAAAAAACACATTAAAAAAAAACCTTTGTGATAAAAATAAAAAGGTTAAAATTCAAACTGAGATAAAAACAAACTATTATATTATCCTTTAAGACTTAATATTTTTAAACTTGTAAGCAAAATAAAATATCTACCAAAGGCTTCAGTTTAAAAATAAGGTATATAATTTCAGAAACAGAAAAGGAATAATAAAACTAAGCATCTCAGAACAAAATAATAGTATAATAATAAAAAAAATGGTTAAAAATTCTATAATTGCAAAGTTTAAATTGTGATAAGTAAGACATCAAGCATTCAAAACATTTTTAATTATGACAAAAAATTATAGTAATCAGATAAACAAAATAATCAATATAAAACAGGCCATACCATATCAATTAGGATTAAAAAAATATGGAGAACCGGCATTAATGATTTGATACTAATGCAGACTAAAATCAAGAATTTGGAAAAAATCAAATTTAGAAGAAAAACTATGTTTCATTTCTTTTGTGTTATTTACTTTTAAAAACAGAACTAGACAATCAACAATAAAGTAAAGATATGTAGAAGGAATGACAGAAAGAAGACAATTATCATGGTATAACAATAATTGAAAATACATGAAGTCTAAAAAATAAATTTTCATAAGTCTGTTAACAGACCCGTGATCAAATTTATTTTTATAATTTATTCAATCTCTCTTTCATTTAATATCATCGGAAAACGAATTCACTGTATGCCCCTTTGCCTAAAAACCATGAAGATGCAAATCTGATTTCTACTACTCATCAGATCCACTAAGATGCGTATGTAGAAATCAAAATAAAAAATGTTCAGTTTAACTGCAATTAAAGTTGTGAGGAATTAGATATGATTGATGGAGAATATGAAGGCCATAAAGGTTGAATAAAGACAGTTTAGAGCTCAAGTTAAAAGTATAATGGATTCAATTCACCTTTCAGAGCCTTTTTGTAAAGCATGACGCTCCACACCCGTCTGAAATAAACTTACATCATATTCCTATTTGGTATTATATACAAGGTGTTAGATGGTTAATATTTCGCTATTTTAATTTCAGTTTCTAGATTTTGCCTCTACTACTTATTAAATTTACTCAAGGATACTTGTCAGAATGAATAGATTAGCCGTATCTTCCATTTCAAACCTAAATTTGATAAATAAAGTTACACATGTTACAGAAATTCAACAAAGCAGAATTTCCTATTATTAATGTTGCCCAAATTCAAATGTCTAACAAATGTTCAAATAATAATAAAATTGTGAAGATATATTCTTCAATTAGAATGTATAATGGTATAGTTATGTTATATTTTAAATAATATTTGTTACTTAAATAAATTAGAGATAATATTAATATCAAGAGTGTGAGTGAATAAAATTTAAAGGATAATAAATAAATGAAAATTGGTACAAGTTGTGAGGCTATTAATATTTCAAAACAAACTTTCATATATAAATAATAAAAATACCAAATTACATGACAATTAAATTCTAATTAAGGAATTTTATGACTTCATATATACTTCTCTAACTGCAATACTTATATTTATGAATGGGTAATATAAAATGACAATGACAATGAAGTTATTAAAAGTTTACTTCAGGCTGATTGATTGGTAGAAGAGAAAATTAGTATGTTATATTTAGCTAAAGGGGTTTTAAGAATTTTTATTATAAGTAGGTGTTACCCTAATATTTAAAAACAATCTTCGGCATAAAATAGTAATTTAATACTACTGACTTGTGATAAATTATATGACAAATTTCTCATAAATCTATTTTTCTCAAGTAAATACAATTTAAGATCTTTTGTCAATTTTTCTTCTTCTATTTTTTTTTTTTTCATAATCACAATGTTCTGGAAAATATTTTGACATATATTCGTCCACATGATGAAAATCGCCATTTTGTAAATTACAGAAAATAATTGATTCTTGTTTGTTTGTTGGGGCTTTAAGGCATAAAACTTCAAGGTCATCAATGCCAGTAAATAACTTTAGTTTATCTCTGACCTAAATTTAATTGATTATTCTTTTATTTCTGAACAAATTAAATTCTAATTTTTACCAAACAGAGATAAAGTGATACTGGCATTTTGTGAATGACAGTACAAAAAATTACTGACGAAGACGAATATGTGTTAAGACAGAATTTCAAGGTGTCCATAACAAACAATGGAAGCCAAGATGACATAAACTGAACTGGAAGGATAACATAAACAAAAAAATTTCTCACTGCAACATAATGACTATGTATGTATGTGTGTATATATACTTTGTATTTTTTACTATTTATGATTTCCATTAGTGATTTATACAGAAAATAATAAATAGTCCTAAAAATGATGATGGAAATAATAATAATAATAAAAATAAACTTAAGAAACATGTGTTCACTCAAAATTAGATCCATATTTCACTTCACTTAAGTCATTACCGAAAATATCTTTTTTTTTTTTTTTTTTAAACTTTTATTATGATATTTACAACTGTATTAGTATGAATACATCAAGTAAATTTGTACAGAGAAATATTATTACATGAAACACGCTTGTTGAGAAACTACCCACTGGTAGCACTCTAAACCGAAAATATAATTTAAAAAATCTAACTTATGAATAATATAACATGAATTTCCTAACACCCAATTGAAATTATTACAATTGTCAATCGTAAAATATTTCTTCCATTGACTCTCCAGAAATCACTTAATCTTAGAAGAATGTTCAAGAAGAAAATAGACTTATCTTGGTTTCGATTTAAATGCAGTATTTCTTTTATTACTTAATATTGAAATGTGAAGAGTGAAAATTTAAGGTAAAAAAGATTTTATAAAAATATTCAAAAGTTAAGAATGATTATCCTTAATTTTATAAACAGGTGGAAGAAAATTAACTTTCTCAGGTATATTCAGAGAAAAGAATATTACGAAAGTAGAAGTACAATTCAGTATCTGATGAATGAGCTTTCTAAAAATATATATCTATAAAAAAAAAAAAAAAACTCTATTCTATCTAATCATTTTATTTAAACATAATAAACTTCTGTCATTCCTAAAATACAAATTTACCAAACTAACAATACATTTAAATAATAATAATAAACCTAATATTTGTCTTAAAAGTGGAAGATTCATGAAATAATGTCTAAAATAAGCACATTACTTTGAACACATTAAAATAGATTTTAATTTAAAAAAGACAATGATATTCTGACTAGTCGTTACGCATTCAATTCCTTCCTTATTTGCGACAAACAAAAACCTTGTAGCCCTCAGACAAACATATTATCTAAAATTATGATAATCTTAAATACAAACAATTATAATAAAAATTATGAAAAAAAGATTTATAAAGAACTTGTACAAATTTTAATAAATATACAAAGAATATGAATAGAAATATCTAAGGCACAAGCGAATCTATATAATTAAAAATATATGACATGTAAGGTCATTTGTGCAATTTTATTTAAATCAAGAATTACAAGATGGTAGTAAATTTGTACAAACTTATCACTCATTCTTTCATATTAATAAGAAATATAAACATTGAAGTCTTGTTTTAAGATAAAGTTGTCAAGAAGCACTTAACTCCCATGCATAGCTTCTCAAAAATACTCAATAAAAATATCTGTGAATATTTAAAAAATAAAATAGGAAAAAAAGTTCAAGTTTATCACATTTTCCATATACATTTCATGATTATCTCACTTTTTGTTTTTAAAAGTCTAGTTTCTAATTCATTACCATGACAAGTCTTTGGTTTTAAAAAATACTCTTTGTAAAACCTTTCATTAATTTTATTACTATTTATTAAACGAAAAAGAAATATTGAGCCTTAATAAATCCTGGCAAAGTATTTTCAACACGATTTCATAAAAATTTTTTTGACGGAATTAATACCACTGTAATGAAATAAAGCTACATAGCTAAGATATTGTTGTCCCATAAATAATAAACAAGTGGTGAAATGTTTCATAATAATAACATCACTATGTATGACCTCATAAGGCACCATATCACAGTATAATTAAATGCCAAGGAGTTATATAAAACGAACCTATACATATTTTTTTCTTTCAATTTTATAAATCAAAACAAATTTAAATGGAACAACAATGATTCATATTTTGTATACATTTAGAACACCACAATCTCTCACTATATTTATTTTCAATATAATCATATATTAAATACAAATTGAAATTAAGTTGTACAAAATAGAGTCTTAAAAGTAATTTTTAAAAAATTAAAAAAGAAAGAAAACGGGTATAACAAAACAGAAAAGTCTTATAATTATAATTACACTACAACTGGGTACAATAACAAAGTGCTTAAGACCTCAGTAAAGTGATTATGAATTATAGTTATTCATTAGAGCTTTTTAAGCACATCTTCAACACAAAACTTAATCTAATTATTACTGTATATTAAATACATAAAATTTGAAAAATGAAAAAAAAAATTAAATAAATAAAAAGGGGAAATGCTGTAATACTTTTGTTTACAATTTTTAAATTATCATTAGACAGGAAGGAAGAGGGCGAGGCTCTCGATGGCTTATGAAGGAGCCCTCCTATATCCACTTATCGTTTTGAGGCCTAAAAGAGTAAAATCAAAATGAAAATACTTTAATCATTTAATAACTTTTGTCTAGCCATACATAAAAACCAAGTAAGCAATAATCTTTATCTTTCTTTAAAGGACAACATGCAATAATTTGACAACTATATTGAAGTTAAATCGAGTAATATAAACATATTACAAAATATATAATCACAGTAAAGTTGATGATTTTTAATAATTTTTTTGTTTTTAATGATAGTTTGATCTTTGATAGTTTTTAATGATAAAACTCAAATGCTTCGAGATATAATTTTATAATAGTAAAATTCTCGTACTGAAAATAATCGTTGAGCTTAATTGATATCAGTAACACGTCCAATTC